AATAAAACAGCTGGGAGAACAGAGTGAAGTAGAGGCGCAGCTGCGGCCAAAACGTCTATAATCTGTAGTTCCCTCAACACCAGCAGACATGACCTCACTCTGACCTTTTCATTAAACTTGAGAGCTCGGAAAATAGGATGAACTATGGCATCCGACTGAAACAAACAAGGAGGAAACTCGTCTCCTTGGAAACCAAAACCTGTGCCTGGATAGCGGCTGACGATCTCGATGGGGATATGAATCTTCTGATCTTCTTATATCAGACATCTTTTCAGCTTTTCAAGCTTTTCCGGGGATGACCAGAGATCGCCTCCGTGCGTAGTATCGCAAAATACCACGTCTGGAAATGGCAGTTAGCAGTATATCACTTCTGGCTGGGACGTCAGAGCTGCAATGCATGCTGGGAGGTGTAGTAGCAGTTCGTTTCCTGTCAAAATGGACAATGGTCCAACAATTTACACTAACATAATCCTCTTGAAGCAGCCAGGTTTTTGTGAGGCAAAGTAAATCAATCTGATTGTCACAAATCAAGTCATTATTTATTTATTTAGCCTTTATTTTATCAGAATAAAATTAAAAACCTTTTTTAAGGGAGACCTGGCCAATCGGTAGCAACAAGTGAAACACAAGTACTGCTGCACAATTAAAATCAAACAAGGAACTATGGAAAACAGGTCCATGTTACTGAATCAGCCCCAAGATTCAATTCTCCGTCACCTTCGGAGAAACAAGGCTGTGACCGAGTACTGGTCCAGGGATACAACCAGGCAATTCTGGGCTGGTTTGCACATTCCCAGGACTTTCTTACCCAGGTTGTCATCTGAAGCTGTGGGAATCTACTCTGCAGAAGGTATCCTGATTCACTGCAGGCACTTGCACCGTCACCCTGACCCAGCTATGGACTCCTCTACACACTCCACAGAAGCCTTCTCTATTGCTAGCAAGTCTTTCATTTTAAATGACTTATTTTTCGTAGAGGATTTATACTTTTTGTTCATTTCTGACACTTGACAGCAGGACAATCTTCTGAGAGTACGTCATGAATGAGTTCTGTAATTGCAAAGTTTTGTTCTCTTTTTACTTTCACAACATCTCCTGATGATGAATTTGAGCTTACTGTCAACTCTTCCAATGTTCTACCTTGCTATTTTTACCAGTGTTGCTTGGTACAAAACCTGTTGTGGTCCTGTCTGTCATTGATCGCCATGGTTAAACAATCAGCCTCGTGAACTTGATTTGATGTCACCCGTTCTGGCCCCTGGCAGACATTTGACTGCCAATTACCAGAGTCGGCTTCTCAGCGGGTGTGTGGCTGAGCGGGGAAAATCTGACACAGACGGGTTGGTGGTGACCTGTGAACTGGGATCTAGGACTATGCTTTCTAAGTACCGTCACCCAACTGGCCTGAGGTCCCGGCTGAGCAGGACCGGGCCTCCAATTCTTGCTTTAAAATGACATTTGGGCAACTATGGCTCAGTGGGTAGAGTAGTCATCTTGTGATTGGAAGGCTGTGGGTTCAATTCCAGCTTCCCTGTCAGATATTGATGGCACTTAACCCCAAGGTCTCCGCTGATCTGTGTGAGTGTGTGAGCATTAGTGAGTTGGATTGGGTGAATGTGTATAGGGCTTTGAGTAATAATAATCATCTTTATTGGTCATTCATTGCACATGTACATTACAACGAAATTTGTCCTCTGCATTTAACCCATCCCTTACAGGGAGCAGTGGGCTGCCATTGTGCGGCGCCCTGGGAGCATTCTGGGGCTAAGGGTCTTGCTCTGGGACCCAGAGTGGCAATCTGTGGGATTGGAACCTGGCCCCTTGTGTCCCCTCTGGAATGCAAACCTCCTGTTCTAACCACTAGGCCACCACTCCCCTAAAGTAGTCGGTATTCAGCCCATTTGTTGTAATTTAGCACTATATAAATTTCTTTGGATTGAGCTGTTAAATTAAATTTATTTTAATTTTAAATTTTATATCAATAATTGACTTCTAAAAGAAAATTCAAGTTAAAAATTTGAAATATTTGAAACTTTTTGCAGTGTATTATGTTTGAAATATTTTCTTTCCTGTGTTTCCTGCTTGCAGAACATGTTCCCACATTTAACCGAGGAGGAAATAACAGCGACCTCATCAGCAACGATGCTCTAAACAAGAAATGGGAGATGTTGACTCTGGTCAAGATTGGAACGAGGAGCCTCTTCAGTTACTTTTATTCCCGACCCAAATACACGTGTTATGATTTAACTCTGATGGACATCATTGATGAAAACATCTGCTTAGGTTTGCAACACTTAAACCCAGAATATGATGTTTGCATAAGTGCTTGAGGAAGAGGTTAATAGTGATACTATTTTAAAGGAACATTGTTTAATTTTGAATTAATTGACATTTAAGTCACATATTGTTGCATGTCCACAGTTTAACACAAGTTATTTCAGTCCAAACTTGCTGGTGAAAACATCTAAAGCTACCTCCATCTCCTTCCAGAGTCCAGCAAGGAGGTTCTGGTTGCAGATTTTAAGAATTTCAGCCTTGACAACGTGAGCGTAGAAGCAGGAGAAGATTCTGTTGGATGTCAAGGTAAAGCATCAGGAAAGAATGAGGAGTCTACATCTCCTGCCACCCTGATGAGTGAGGGCATCAGACAACAGGACCTGGCAGAGCTCATTATGAGACCCATGGATGTGTAGGTATTTCTTTCAGAATTATCTTCATTTTATTACACATTTTGTACTCAAACCCAGTACTCTATGACTGCATGTCACTGAATAATATCTGGTTGTATTTTTCTGTGGGTTTTGGACTTTCTTATAATTTTCGCTTAAATATCAAGTTGTTTCTTGCAGCAAACTGAAGCCGGGTGTTGAGGACAGGTTTAAGCTGATGGAGGGAGAGAAACAGGCTTTTGTGAAGAGAACAAAATCGTCTCCATAGACAGTGAACCAGGTCCCTATATGGAGACTCGTCCTGGTTTGGTTTAAATGCATGACCCACATTAATAATGCTCTCAGAAGACCAGAAGAAAAGTTTAAACTGTTTATTGTGAGACAGTGAATATGAATGTGCAGGAAATCTTGATTCAGGAACTTCCTGAGGGAACAGGTCAGCAGAATCACTAGGGGAGAGAGGTAGGTGAGCGAGGGAAACAATACTGGGAGGGATGTTGAGGGAAATGAAGGAGGTTTACTGGTTGGAGTGGAAGATGAATGCCAGGGAGAGTGAGTGGGAATTCAGGGGATACAGCCATATGTATGTATGAGTCTAAGGCTGAGGCAGCAGCCCCGAAGGGTACCTGTGTCTGTTAGTGCTTCAGCTTCAGCAGCCAGACCATGTTGATTTTATTATTCCTCTGGGCAGCATGGTCATCGCTGTTGTTCCTAACTTCTGGCGCATCTTCTGACTGATGCTCTTAAAGACCATCAGGTGCACTAAAGCAGGAACAAACCATTTCATGCAGATACAGGGGGGTGTTTACTTTTTAGTCTGGGAGTGGAGACATTTAAGTTTTTACTGCCAAAAACAAGCCAAAACAAAGACATCATTAACTTTATTATATGTGTATATCTATGCTTGAGGATGATTATTAATCTTGGCCTGTATTTCGGGGGCCCTGTCAGGCAGGGGCCCTTGGAATCGTCCTGCTAACAGAAAAGTCATTTGTTTTTCTGCATCTGATCTGATTCATCAGGTACAAAAGACTGAAGTGACGACCTTCACTGTGCCTGAACATAAAGTGTTTGCTTTGGCTCTTAAGGAGATAAAGATGGAGGATGGTTTCCTGGATGAGAACATGACATCATATTTGTTATGATTATCTATCTGTGAAGAAAAATATGCTTTTTTCCATAACTCTCTGTCTCTTTTTTGGTTAGCCGTCCGTCCAGAGTTTATATTACATTGCATCGGTAGGTTTCATTTTCATTTTTAACTCATTTAAATTCCTTATTTTAAACAAACTGAATTAAAACTGTTCAACAATATTTGCTGTCATTTCATTTATAGCTCAAACATTCAGAATGATGAGGTGCCAGAGATTCATGAGGCTGAGCCTGTTGTTCTCAGCTTCATTCATATGATTTGGTTGATTGGATCTGGGTTTGAAGGACAGTTCTGCTGTTCTTTCGGTTCTTGTTTAAAGCTTTAGTTCCTAGTTGCCTCAGTAGCTTAGTTTTTCCTTCTGTCTTATCCCAGCATATATCTTCTCACCCAGGAGCTTCCAGGTCACAATATACAGTTCTGGTCAGAGGTTTCCATCCAGTCTAATGTGGAGATGAATATAATACTAATTTGGGGGTTTTGGTGAGTAATTTGAGACGTTCTTCTTCCAGGGAATCATCATTTAATATTTTTTTAAAACTACGATTTGATGCAAAAGTTTGAATTCAATGCAGGTTTCCTGAAAGTGACCCGTTCAAAATTATGTATAGATTCAGTTAAATGTTGTCCAGCAGGATTTAAAGAGACCAGACAGTTTTTAGTCAATAACTGTCTTAGTGTAACTTGGGCTGGACAGAAATGCACCATTACTTCTCAGAAGTGGTGGTTTTATTGCCTATGCCAGGGAGGCTATGTTTTCAATTCAATCTGTGTGTGTGTGTGTGTGTGTGTGTCTTAGCCCAAGGAAGGATCCGTTAACTTGTGGTCCTGATCCGGATCCAGGTTTTTTTTCCGTGGCATCGGTGACCCTACGATGGATGGTGGAGAGATGCAGTCTCTCGCTGTCTTTCATAAGTTATTGTCTTTTCTGGTGTAGAGCTGGCTGTGTGTGTGTGGGGTGGGTCTTCTATATCTGGTATGGGGAATGTTTGGGAAAGAGTTGCTCAAAAATCACCTTCAATCATGACTGGGATTCAATGCTGCTGACATGAGCAAATCAAACACCATCTGAAGAAAGGTTTCTGGTCAGAGGAGTGTTAGGTTATAACTGCTAATGTTTTCAGTTTTCTTAGGATAGGATAATAATCATCATTGACCTAGATTATAAGGACAAATGATCTACAGTTTGACATAAAGTTTAGTACATTGGGTTTGATTGTGGAACAGTCTGTGACCGGGTTGATTAGATTGCTGCAGCAACACTTAGATTCAGAGTTGGACACCTGCTATTACACTCTACAAGATAGACACAATGGTGACACAGTTTACTGATAAACACTGAGGGAGTGTACATCCCTTGCAGCAAGTACCAGACATAAGAACCACGTGTGACCTTCTTTCAGGGCCATTTGTCACTGTGATCATCAAGCGGCTTAAGGAGGGGGACCTCAGTGCTGATTTCTGTAACCATTCCTCTCCCTTATTTAGCATAAAAGTGTTGAAAGTTTAGTTCTGTTTGAGAGTCATTTCTTAAAAAAGAAAGTGCTGCAAACAGTGGGATCACTTCTGGGGAAATGATTTTGAGAGAGCTCCGAGGCGTCTGACCGCCAAGAGGATGCATTAGCTCGGACAAATTGGCGTTTCTGCCTGGCCCCCGGAGGTGGATTTCCACTTTTGGCTAGGGGCCCACAGACGAACAGGACAGCACAGCCGCAAACTAGCAGGTGAAGAGATGTTTTTCCTCCTAAAAACACCTTGGCTGTGGTGTTGGTTCTGAGTGAGCTGGATTTATTTCGTAGCCTTGGAGGCAGAGAAATAATTCAGAATGATTTTAGTGTGATTTTGAACACGGAATAAGACGTGTGGGATAGCGGTGCGATTGTAGCGCTGTCAGTCCGGGAGGGGGCAGTCCGACCCTCTGAATATATTACAGTCTCCCTCTCACGCACTATAAAAGCAACCTCCTTGAATGAGGTACACAAAACGGCAAGGGTTTGTTGGGTCCAGTAACTTCCTTAAGAAGTTTGAAAAATCCTGCCGGGTGAAGCCTTGAGTTTCGATAGCTCTCTGGAACTTCTTATAAGGCCAAAAAGCCGCTGACATCCTTGTTAGTAACCAGCTGTGAGAATATAAAGAAATAAAAGTGTAACACCAGCTGGCCAGTGTGAATGTGTGTGAGTTGATAACAGTGAACTAGCAGAAGTAGTATTTGGGGGACACATTTCACTGACGGACTTTGACTGCTAGATGCTAAGCTAACGGACGCTAGCTCACTGAATAAGCAATGGTGTCGGAGGGATAAACAAATAAGCTCTCATTTGGACCAGGAAACGGTGCTGTACCCCCTGGTCGGTGTGGAAATATATTATGTGTGTGCATCATTATTATGTTCATAACCAATGTGGGAAATAAAATGTGTAACATGTGTTAGTATAAGACATTGTGTGGCCTGCAGAAGTATTTCTCACAGGAGAGAGCAG